GTACAGTGTCCCAACTTTTTTGGAATTGGGTTTGTATATATATTTCCTTTTTTTAACAAAAATGTTTTTCATGGTTTTGGTTAACTGTAATAACCCTGGTGAGTACAGAAACATACTTATACAATCAACCAGAAATACTATACCATCCAGGCACCACTGGCATACTGGTGTTCAAGTATGCATTGAAATAGTGCATTGAAATAGCAGGGATAGATAGATAATTTGCAAACTGGGATGCAGCAACACAAATATTTAGCTGTCAAAACAGCATCTCCTTGTGGCTAAAAAAACTGTAGTGGCACCGAAAATAAATCCACGGTCTTACCTTCTCTTTGTGTTCCTGTTCCTAGGCATTTAGCTGTGTTCTGGAATATGCCACACCACTGCTGACACTGTATCAGATGTCCCATGAGAGCAGTGCAGGGTTTGGAGAGAGAGAACGAAAACAGCAGGTCCTGTTGTTCTACAGAACCCTCAGCCAAATTCTGGAAAATTCTCTAGAGTGCCGGAACCGTTACCGGCTCGTCCTGCTCAACGGTCAGAATTTCATTCAAATTAATGAAAGGCTTTTAAGTCTTGTTCCTGAAATGATCAAAATGCAGTCTTTTAGAGATTGAGATAGACTTTAAAATCATATCTGGATATAATTCCTACAGTGGTTCCTCTCAGTGTCCATAATGCTGATTTCATACATCTGTTTTTCAGATGAGCACACAGGTGACCCTCATTACCTCTCCAGAGAGATCATCCAGCACCTGAAACAGCAGGATGGAGAGATTCACATGGATCACATCCAAGAGCCACCGAATGAAGTCCAGCCTGTTCCAGAAGAGGGTCCGATTGGGAATATTAATGGTGCACTGCGTGCCAATTTCCCAGAAGACCCAGTGAGCAGCAACCCAACCCTCATGTTCAGCCAACCACAATCTTTAAGATCTGAACCAGTGGAGACCACTGATCATTTTAACCAACCTAATGCAAGGAGATGGGATTGAGTTCATGAGTTCTTAGAATTATTTAATAGAATTTGATATAATAATAAGAATCCATTAAATCAGCTGCTCATAACCACCCTTATTTTCTCTCTGTGTTGTATTTTATTTTATTTCAGTTTATGCTTATTTCAAGCAATTATAATGTTTTTGGTTTTAATTTTAGTTAAGGACAATAACCCTGCCTGAACACCTTACAATGACCTCAAAATTAATTTGGACACCTGTGCCACAAATAAATGTGCACATGTATTAAATGTAGCATCATTTATTTACACATTTTGATATTATATAGGGTTTTTTATGCAATCATCAGAGACACATATCTTTGTTGAAAGATACTACTAACACCTAAAAACACATAAGACTTTTACATAAAGATGTTCTGAAAAGACTTCCTGTTGCTCTAACACGATTTTACAAGAAATAA